TCACTTTCATACGAAATGAAAGTCCCCCTAGCAATATTTTTGATAAAACTAAGTGGCGCATTTTCCTTACTAATCTTTGGCGGACCATACACAGTTGGCGGTTTAGCATCGCTCTGAAAGAATGGGATTATTTTCCTCCAGTATTCACACAATCCATCCTTTACATTATACATTATACACTATACACTATACATTATTATCGACAATTTTCAGAACGTCGTTGATAGGATACTTGCAGACCCATACACAAGAGGTCATTTGAACGGAGAACCGCCTCCTACGCTCTATGGGTCAACAAATCCGAGTCAGCTGAGCACATGTTCTATAGAGGAGACAAAATTAAATAGTTCAAAACGCAGGGTTTCTCGGGCTACCGGGATTTCACAGCCCAACGTAAGATTATGGAATCTATGCATACAAATAAAGCAGCCAATATCCTGAATGGGATAAATGAATGCATGAAATTGGGCGGGTAGCATTAGTGGGTGGCTGTTGGATGGACTTAACGAGAGACAGGGAGGAGGGGAAGAGGAAGAACCGATGCCAGTCTGATTAGGAGGTCTCTTCAACTTCACATGACTTGGACTTGGACTTGCATACACACAATAGGCAATACGACATACGCAAAATAATGCTTGAGCATACGTTTGATTGTGTAGGCAAGGCAACAGCTGCCTCTACATCCATTTTCTCTGCAGTTATCTACCTCTCCTATCTACCAGAATGTATGATAGGCATGAAATAGCCAACCGAATTATGGGATGCCTCATGATGATCGCAAAGTTCGGTATAGCAATTGAGTGTGATTGCACTGGGACCCCCGTAATCTTTCGGTATGTTGTATTTTGTACGATCTTTAGTAAATTATAGTTCCTCGCGTCGATGATGCCTGCCAGAGTAGAGACGAGCGCTTTGCATAGATTCGGACGGGCCGCAGGACGGTGAGCCGAGGACTCGTTTGCAAGCTCCAACACGGTCTACTTCGCTTTCCGGTGCAACGAATTCACGAATTCTCTCCGACCAACATTATGTTTGAAATGAAAAGTCATGAAAATTAACTCATTAAGGGATTCTTAAATGTTCATCTTTCCTTCCTATTGCTGGCTAGGGGCATCGGGCGAATGTTTTTGTAGAAATGTCTGTGTGCAGACGAAGAGTGGTGCTGAGTACTGTAAATGCATCCCCAGATACCAAGTAGGGTTGCAAAGAGAAAGCTGAGACTTTGGTGCAGTTTGTTGCTGGATAAGCGTTGATTTCGTTTAGAAATGGAATGACCTCACCAGAGCCTGGTCCTGGATTTCTGACGGCTGGGCCCGCGACCCCGATCCATCCGTGTTCATCTTTCGTCCGTCGTTTAGGGAAAAGTCACAAAATACGCCGAAAAGAAAAATCTTCAGTATCGGCAGTAGCCCATTTAAGAAACCCACCTACGTTTGCAAACGAAATCAAAGGCATCCATTTTGGAAATTGCACCAGAACTATGCCGTTTCGAGAGGACGGATGTCTTCTGGAGTCAGTTAGAGACTTCAACCGGCGGGGCTGTACTAGGAAATGTGGGCACGTGTGCCTTGGGCATGGAGAGGAGAAGCGCGAACCTAGATACACCGCCCATTCAGAAGAATGAAAGGGACAGCAGGCTGGAAAGGTAGATGACATCATGCTCTCTTACCCTCTCCCTCTCCTTGTAGTTCATTTTCCCTCTCTTTACTATTCTCATTCGTCCTTTGTCCTGCAAGATTTGCGAAAACTTTACAAATCGCCATTGCTGTATGCAATCTCAGTCTTTGTCTGCTGGTCGGAAGGATGCCTGACGGAGAAGAGAGAACTGAGTACGAGAGCCACGACTAGACTCGAGGCATTCAAACTACTTATTTTGCCCAGCTTTTCTCTCTCTTTCGTTCTTTAAAGCTATCCAACGTTGAATCAATTTTCTCGTTCCGAATGTTGATTGTTTTGTTTATTTACATGGACTGACTAATATTACGCTTAATGAAATGCCCGATTAGGGTAGGAAAATGAGATATAACCAGTAAATAGAATTACAATAGTTCACTTCACTTGCTTTAGTTTTTTTGGAAATATTTCGTAACCAATGGTTTATCGCTTGACCACGGTGAACCGAAGACTTATGGAACAATTCAAGGCGATTCTCTTTCGATTATATGAGATCTGTCCACAACTCCCTTCCACTGTTTCGTCAAAAACTGTACAAAATGACAGTCGAATTGCCCTCAAACTTTAGGGGATTATTCAAAACTTAATCTTTCTTCATATATTGAAATTGGAGGAATTTGTGTGGATAAAAGTAAGAGTTCAAGAATTCTATTGTTCTTTAATACTTGAGATTACTTACTTTTCGAGTTAGAGTGTGCGATAAAGAGATTCGATGATGGATCCCACAAAAAGACGATGGCTGATTCCTCTTGGCCATTTGGTAGTACGGAACATCTAATGGACAATTAATGTTGACTCCGTCCCCGAGATAATCTCCTTTGATTCTGGTGAAAATATGATAAGCTGCTTTTCCGCTTCATAAGTAGGTTATCGAGACCAGCGAAAAATCTTAAATAAGAGCCCTACTAACCCCCTTTCATGTGAGGCGATGAAGGACTGATAGTTGAATTTTCCCACAATCATATGAGTGGGTCCGAGTCCCGTTGTGGGTGCTGTTGAAACCAGTAGAAGCGAGGCCCAAACTGCAATCCAGTCTTAAATGAGAATAACTTTTGGGAAGCAAGACCATGTGAAATTCACTGGAAACTTAAGGTCCACTCATATAGCTGTGGGAAAATTCAACTGCCCGTTCTTCATCACCTTAAACGAAATAAGCCGAATACAGCTCTTATACCAATTCTTGTGTACATTGTGTAAAGGACATCATTGTAGCAGAGTGCCATTCTCACAATTGGGTTCAAACAGAAGAGGCAAGAAAACTCACCGGCCTAAATTCATGCATTTTGATGAAGCATACATTGGTTACGCCAGTTCGAATCATACACCAATCAAGCTGTATGCGTGTGTGTCTGTTTGTGTGTGTGTGATAGCTCAAAGTGATTATAACGGAACATCTTTATGGATAAATAGCCATCCACTCATTTTTAATAATATCTTAGCCATCATTCCAGTTGCGAAACTGTCGAGCATGCACCTGGTTAATCAGATGAGTTTATGCAAAGAAAAGTTGGGTCTAGGGGAATTTCTTTTTTCATAATTGTTGAACTTACTTCCACTTTAAGTGAAAGTGTTTGGTGGAGAGATTCGACGATCGAGTCCACGCTGTTGTCCTCTCTTTGTACTGTTAGCCCACTCTTTCTCTCTCACATGAAGATCAATAAAAGCTCATAAATATAACCAGACGTGTGTCCGACCATGCGCAATCTGAGTGATGGTTATAACTTAAATGTAGAAAAGAGGAGATAGTGGTCATCAAATCATGATGACCAAGAACTTTTGCTGTTCAAATTACTTTGAGCCATCACTGCTGGTCTGCAGCAGAGGTGAACACATACAGAGACAGACAAACTCACATGCTTCGAGGTTGACATATGACTGGAACTAACTAAATCACTTAATATCTAATCAAAGAAGTCAGATATAGAGTATATATACAGCTTTTAAGGAATAAGCCGGTGAGTTTACTTGATTCGTTAGTTGAATTTATGCAAAGAATTTCAAGGGATCTCTTGTTTCAAAATTGTTGAGATTATTTCCATCTCAAATAAAAGTGTTTGGTGAAGAGATTCGAAGGTCGGTTTCACCTGAAGACGACGGCGGATACCTCTTGACCAGCTGTCGATTGGCTTTACTGAAAGATTCATGCTGGCGCTGCTTCCGAGGTAATCTCCTTTGATTCGGGTGAAAAGATGCTAAGCTTTCGTCCGTCATATGATGAACATCATCAGAGCAGGGTACCATCCTTACAATCTAATTAAAGCTAACGAGTCAATAAAACTCGTTACGGCCAATCTACATTTGGTCAAGACAAATCCGTCATCGTCTTTTGGTAGGACCAACCTTCAAATTCTTTCACCAAGCACTTTCACTCGAAATGGAAGTAAGCTCAACAATTGAGCAGATGAGTTTATTGCCAGTGCATGTGTGTGAGACAGAAAGAGCGATCTAACCCACAGAGATGGTGAGATCGTGATTTAGCACCATGGCCAACAGAAAAATGTAACCCATACTGCGTCCAGTGTCAAAGTGAACATCATAACAACTGCGCTGTAACATCGAATTGATAACAGCTAACATGTACCCAGGTCTTTCCGACACCTCAACAAGGTCGAGAAGACAAGGTTCGACGACTTCTGCGGACAGCAAATGCTGGCGTGGACGTCGGACACCGACTCGTGGTGTGTTCCCACATAGCACGGATGGATTCGAGGCCTAAGCGCAAAGAGGTCTGGAACCGGCCAAGCGGAGAATAGGCGGTGAGACGAGATGGCAACGAAAACTGGGAAGTGGACGTCGTATGGGTGCAGTGAGAAAACGAGGCGAAAGAGCCAATCGGACCAATTCGGATTATGACGACCCATCGTGTCGAGCCGTGAAGATGATTGAGGAAAGATACAGCACAAAAATGGCCTCTCGAATGGGAGTTGGAAACGGTGAAAACCCATGCGCACAACACGACCTACCGAAGCCGCTTTTGACGGTGGTCGCGGTGGCCAGCAGACTCTT